ATCCACGATGTAATGGAATGTATGGGGATTTGGAAAAATAGGAAAATTTGTGATCGAGCGGAATTTGGAATGGATGGGTTAGAAAATTTATTTTTCCATGGTTCAATTATTAACTTTTCTTTTTTCGATCCATCCATTTTTCTCCCTCCAAAAAAAGGAAATGTAATTTCAGATCGTGCTGACGTTGGTGTGGATGATCATCGAGCCACCGGGCACGAGATTCTTCTACCCGGATCGTAAGCAGGTGATCCTCAAATGCAACATCCAGGACATGAGCTTCCTTTTCTCCCAGTTGTACAACGCGTTGCTGATCCTGATCTCGACCGTGTACGCGGTGAAGACGCGGAAAATACCGGAGAACTTCAACGAGAGCAAGTTTATCGGCTTCACCATGTACACAACCTGCATCATATGGCTGGCCTTCGTTCCGATCTACTTTGGTACCGGGAACGCGCACGAGACACAGATCACCACTCTCTGCGTTGCCATCAGTCTGAGCGCGACCGTCACACTCGTTTGCCTTTACTCGCCCAAGATATACATCATCCTCTTCCAACCGGACAAAAATATCCGGAGGAAGGTCACCATGGGAGATAAGTCGAAAAAACAGGGAAGCAGCGCCGGCACCTCTTCCATCACCAAATGTGAGTTTAAAAAATGAATAACCATATGAATAAATATATCTTTCCATCATCAAATGTATAGTTAAATATTGTGGTTGAAAAATGAGCAACTATATATATATAAATGAATACATTTCTTTCTTTAATAAATGTAATAATATAGTTAAATATTATGGTTGAAAAACGAGGAACCAAGATGTATTCGTTTAAAAAAATAATTCGAAAGATTTGACTTATATATACGTATATATGTACATTGAAAAATTCATTTGACTGGTGGAAAACGATTAAATCTCTTTTCATGATAAATTATCGATCGATGAAAATGGGGGGGAAGGATGATTTATCTACTGCGAAATACACGTATATTCCAATATAAAATATCGTCTGTAGAGTCTGCGGAGATCAGTGGCCAAGATAAGCAAACGATGGGTGTATTGATTGCGCGTTATACGTGTTACATGCATTACTCGCACGCGTAAATTCAGCTTCCAAAACGAAAATTTTAAAATCTCCCTTTTTTAAAAACAATTATTCAAAACGAAACCTCGGTCACGAGTCGTCAAATTGCCAAGATTAAGATTCTATTTAAAAAAAGAAAGAAACGATCCCATAAAACGAAACACGAAATACAATATAGCCGGTGTTCCATTTTTAGAAAATGGAACACGATGAGTGAAGGTGGGGACTAATAATAATCCGAATCCAACGCGACTCGCAAAATTACGAAGAAAATGACCGAAAACATCGATGGTGGCGATCGCCTCGGCACGCCGCCAACATCTTGTAACACCGCCTCTCCTCGCTCAACGACCGTTGTCTTCTCGTACTTTCTTCGTGAGGATCGAGTTCGCAACTCGTGTAACCCGATCCTTAAGGTCAGCCATATAAATAGAAGAGCCGATTGTTGTTCACCGATACTCGGGCATGGGACACGAAAGTTTCGAAATTTGAAGTTTCGTATTTAAGAATTCGTTGATTCTTGGAGGAAAAATGGAAATTTCAGGAAATCCAGAGATGGACAAAGAAATTTTTCTCGATGATTCGTTCGCGATTACATCAATATACAAATTTTTGATCGATTTCAACAATTTTTTACAATTTTTTATCCGGATGAGAAAGGTGATCTCCCCTGCCCCTCTCCTCTTTTTTGAACAATCGTTAATTTCCTCTCCTCTTCGCGAATTTTACTTCGCTCGATTTCTCCCGTTTCTCTCGAGTCTGAAATAATGCTCAATACGATACCGATGGATCAATTCTCTGTCCAATTTCCGTATGGAAATCGATTCCTCTGTTATCATTGTCCGTTACACGTGATTACACGGGCTAGTTACACGGGTGTGCAAAGATTACTGTTCATGCTGCGCTAAATTATTAAGTTAATTCTTGGATCTGCCATCTGTCACGTATGTCTCTCTCTCTCTCTCTCTCTCTCTCTCTCTCTCTCT